CCCTTATGTTCAGGTATAACCTTGTATTACGTGCAAAATAAATACATGGATGATATAAAATAGGTGCCAGTGCTGTGTCCCTTTACATCATCCTCTTAAAAATTTCTGTAGATCTCCATTCAGCCCCTTTCTGCACTGCCAAGTTGATGCTACCTTCATATACCTCCTTGCAATAAGGTAGAGATCTCAAGTGTGTTGTGCTTCTCTCTTTACTCATCAGAATCCACATATTTGAGTCCTTCTGTAAGAAAATAATGCAATCTTGATGAAAGAATAACTGGTTGGAAAACAGAAAAAAAAAAGGATGATGGAAGGGCCTCTGCTTAGAAAAAGCAACACTTTGTTAGTCTAAAAAATAAATTTCAAAGCAGAATAAACACCCAGATAAAGAAAGGAAGATGTGGCTACTAAATTTTTCTATATTTGACATTTTAGACATAATTTCTGTTGTTGTTCATTATCTTTCCAAGAAAGGCATGATCATTTATATGCCTCTTTGTAGTGTTTCAAGGACCAGTTATTATGAGGTGATGTTTAGAAGGTAAGGCTTAGGACGTACTGTTCCTGGGAAACGTTCTGTCCCCTTCAGGCAGCAGCATGTCCATTTCTAATCACTGATTTCTCATTTCACCTTGGAAATTGGTAGTGTGTGATCTCCCAAATTTCTTTTAAAAGCTGAGCGTCTTTTACAACAACACCCTGATCTGGATGTATAAAATATAGTTAGAGATAACTCAAAATAAATATGATTATTATTCTATCACACATTATTGCAGCAATAGGTACCACTAAGCTATTTCAATACAGTCACCAAAGCAAATGCTCCCCACTGTCAGTACATTTCATAGCATGTCTGGTTTCCAGAGAATTGCAATTAACTTTAATAGAAGTAGCCCCAGGGCAGGAGAGAGACAGCTATATCTAAGCTTTTACTTAAAAATTTAAATACATCCAATATTCATGAGTTGGATAATTTGTGTAGCCATAAATAGCTATGGTACTTGAACTATTTATTTACTGAGCATCTTTAGTTGCTGTTACATACACTTAAACATCCTAAGTGTCTACTAGTCATATGGCTACCATCATCTCCTCACACCAGAAGAAACATCAAGCACTGTTCTAGTATTTTTTAAAAGAAAAGAATTTTTTCCTACACCTCTCACCCCCAGCCCCATCCTACTATCTCTTCATTTTGAAGCTTTCATGCAACCGAAAAAATGAAAACCATACACAGTTCTGTGATCTGTAAAGTTTTGTTGGTTTTTGATGGGTTAAAAAAAAAATGCTTCTTTTACAACCATCTCTACAAAGCCACAAATCACAATTAATAGAGGCCATCATGTGAAATGGAGGCGTAGACTGGTATTGTGCAACGTACGTAGATGCTGTACTATCTACCCAAGAGATCTTTTAAGATCAGTGCTGAGAGAGGGTTCAGAAGTAGACAAAAATCTCTTCTGTATTTTACCTCAGGAAGGATCATTAGAATTTATGTTCAACAGCCCATCAAGCAGACTTAAAGCTCTCCTCAGACCCAACCGGCAGACATGTTACTGAAAGGGTGCTAAAATAAGTGTGTGTTTGGCATAAGGAAAGAAAATATTGCCGGATTGTGTAAATGCTTCTTTCTGAAGGCTTCAGCATGCCTTCAAAAAAAAGTAATTGCAGATGGTATTTGCACAAACACTGTACTCAATACACACCTCACACCAGCACAGCAAACCAAAGGCACAGTGTATTGACGGTGTACTGATGCAAGTCAATTAGATAAACCATGAAAACAAAGGGATACATGAAGATGACAAGTATTTCCTCATTTCTGGTGTCAGATCCACCCATCATAGAAACAAAATACCATTTTAGCTGCACCTGGAAGCTCACCAATATAATAGAAACTCAGTTAATATAAAAAAAGAAGAAGGTAGCGGCAGGCCTATTAAAGTAAGGTTTAATAATTCTACACTATATCCTGGCCTCAGTCTCAATCATCTATCTATATAGACTGGTAAAAACGAGCATGGCTAACTGGTATGCAAATACTTTATTCTCCTTCAGAGCAGACTTCAGGCTGTAACAGATGGAATTTTACCTTCACTTGGAGAAAGTTTCAGCAAGGCAAAAAATGGCTTTAGAAGCACTTTAATATGCTGCTCCAGCATCATGCCTACACAGTCTCTATAACCAGCCTCCTACCTGGCTGCATTCTCCAGAACGTGCAAAGACATCAGCTCCTCAAATTATCACTGTGACACGACATATTTCCTATTATTTACAGGTATCGATTTCCCGTAATTTTTCAAAGAAAGAAGTATAAGCGACATAAACCAAGTGTAATAGACATGCAACAGTGAAATCTTCCCGTGTGCGGGGGAAGCGTGTGAGGCAAACAGGTTTTGGGAGGCCGGGCTCATTCTTCCCCCCGCAGGCGCCGGCCTCAAGAGGCCACAAGAGGGCGCGCGAAGGCTGCTGAAAAGGCAACGAACCGAGCGGCAGAAGAGCCGGGCCCGGGCAGCGCCGGATGCCGTCTGTCGGCTAACAGCCTGCCGTCTAATTCGCACTGGAAATCAATTTAATTTCCTCCTCAGCTTTAATTCGTTACAAGTAACTCTTCAATACTAGCCTGGTAAGGAGCGAGAGACAGAAAGGCATTCATAATGTTCAGCTGGAGCTGGATAAATGCAACGCAGCGCCAGGTGAGAGCAGCCGGATGGAAAGGCTCGTCTGTGGCAGCAGACGGGGAGATCAGCTGTGCGCTTCACAGAGTCAGAGAATTGTAGGGGTCGGAGGGGACCTTCAGAGATCATGTAGTCCAAGCCCTGGCCCAAGCAGGTTCGCCTAAAGCAGGCTGGGTAGGAACACATCCAGGTGGGTTTTGAGTATCTCCAGAGAAGGAGACTCCACCACCTCTCTGGGCAGCCTGTTCCAGTGCCCTGCCACCCTCAAAGTGAAGAAGCTCTTCCCCGTGTTCAGATGGAACTTCCTGTGTTCCAGCCTGTGTCCGTGTCCCCTTGTCCTGTTTGCTTCTCCCTCCTGCTTTTCCTGCCACTGAGGGAGGGAGGGGGGCATGTGCAAAGTACCAGTCCAACTCAAAAGGAGCACCTACTGCCAGCCTTTAATAGCAACAGGAATGGCCACCCCTACCCCCTTCACTGTTCCAGCTTCACACTACCCCTCCTCCTCTTTTCCTTTATGACATACAAAAAATAAGGCTTAACTGTGGTGAAATAGACTGACAAAAGAAATACCTGCAAACAGGTATTTTCAAACTGGGATGTTTATATGTGGGTCAAATATGAGTTTGTGAAATCTTCCACCACCATAGTCAGATTTTTCTCATCTCTTACCTCTGAATATTATCCAGTTAAATTCCATTCTTGAGCTGAAGGTTGTTTATATAAGCCAAGGATAAATGTATTCTTAAAGCCTGTTCTTTCTGGATGGTTTAGCACAATACAGCACTTGAATATCCATTTCACTTAGCTGTTGCAGTATTCTAGCAGGAAACAGCAGCAGGGTGCTGCTATTATGCAGAGCACAGGAGCACAATGATAATGCTTGTGAATACTGATCTCCTGACTGATGCAATCGTTGTGATAAAAGAAAATGTCTTAGTAGTATAAGACCTGACTTCTTCTGCATGAAGTTAAGATACATTCAGCACGTATCTAGCTGTTTCTGGAGGCTGAAAAAGGAGGAATGTCACAAAGCTGTGGAGCAGATCTGCACCACACTTCCCACAGTTTCTCACCTCTATGGGATCCAGGGTAGCAGCAGAAGCCCCTGCACTGGGAGGTCAGTGGACACAGCTTCAGGATTCAAAACACACAGCGAGAGGGGATCCTTTCCCCAGCATGAAGGAGATACAGAAATACCTCCCATCGGAGTCCTGACGCACCAGCTGTTGCAAGGCAATTTAGCTGAGGCTCCTGCATTTGCACATTACAAATGTCATTCTAGCTAAATCATTATCTGTATTTTTCCAGTAATGTATGAAATCAATGAAACATGATTAAGAGAAATGAACTGGCTCTGCAGCTATCATGGTACTCACCACAGTTGCCACTTCCCTTTGCATGAAAGGATCATGAAAGCTCTTACCAACTAGCTTGTTTTAAATCTTCCTAAATAATGTACTTTTCTCCTCTTTTCTTAACCTTTTGCCCTTCGCACTTTCTCCTCCTTCTTATTCTGCATTTCTGTTACTTTAGGAACAGCTAATGGTCCAAACATTAACGCTAACCATCTTCCTCTTACATTCCCTGCAATGGGAGAGAAAGGTCCTGCATAAGTCTCTGTGTCTCCACTGTAATAAACTAGCCAGTTATAACAACCCCAGAATAGACCAAAGACAGACTTGAAATTTAAAAAAAAAAGATATAACAAATCTGTAAATAACCTGGTGACACTCAAAGACTGACTGCTTAAATTCTGTAGCAGGGTGTGAGTTTTGCATCAGTGCTGCAGTTACCCAAAGAAAATCGTTAAGCTTCAAAGATGAGCAAATAGGACTGCAGCATGCTAGCTTCACATGGCCACACTTAAAAAGCTAGTGACACTTTACACGCTATAAGAACAAGTTACTTCAAAGAGTTCACAAAATTTATCATTTCAGGCACCAAATTTACACAAAGTAGCCAAGATCACAAATTTACAACATTTTTAATTGTTTCGTTTTCATATATTGTTATATAGTTGTTAGTGTGCTATGTATTGCAGTGGCAAATATCTTGTACATCAATGATTAAAAAAAATCATACACTGTTATCGCTAATTACTCAGATTTTACTTTCATAAATCTGAACAGTGTATAGTTTCTTTTTACAGACCCTATACTTGTTCTTCACATAGGTCAACTAGAATCTTAAAAAGCTGTTGCTTTGCTTTCTCAGGGTCTAATGTTACCCCTCAAGCTGCATCCAACAAGTGATGATACCAAACCTCTTAGCTTTCCTCTCTTAGTGGGGAAAAAAAAAAAAATCTCACCAAGAACACATTGATATAAATAAGGTACATTTAATCACTCACTGAAAACTCAATACACAGAAAATACAAAAATGCCAAACATTTTGTAAATAGGACAGAATCATTACATGGAGTGCTAATGTCCATCTTTCTCCCTTTGTAAATATAAACGTGCATAGATGTAGTGATCACTGTCTGAAAATGTAGTTCTTGACATTGCAATGAACATGCTTTAGTAAGTGCAGATCTTTGACATCGCAAGACAACTTACCTATGCATTTGTAGCAAAACAAAAATAAATATGAAAGAAACAGACAAGTAGTTATTGCCTGTTTCCTCTCAGATTATACAATCTAATCTAGAGAACGATGGACTCTGGATGCACTTCTAAACATAACAAAGAGCCAGTTTACCAGTGCTAAAGATTTAGAAGGGTGCAATAAAAGGAATTTGCCTTTTCAGAAGCAAAGGCACAAAGTCAGTCACTTGTTCTGAGTTGAGGTCACTCCCTACTCCCAGGAACTAGATGAAAGCTTCTACATTTAGACCCTGACTTTCTCCTATCTATTTTTTAAGTTTTATTTTTGACTGCAGGACCAATAGTTATTCAGCATGTTCCCTCTCAGAAAATTTGTCCACAGGAGAAGCTTTTCTTATAGCTTTCACAGAGACGGAAAAACTGCATGTTACAGTTCCACACTGCCCATTTAGCAGACTGAGGCAGAGAAATTACACTAGTCCAAGGAGTGTGATAGAGAACCAGCTGCTGAAATTCAAAATTAGTTCTCTAACTTACTCAACCAATGCTGGCAGAAAGCTGTGTCTGGGGCAGAATCCTGTTGTCATTTTATACCAGTAACGCTTAACAAATGTGGGGAGAAATATCTCTATCTGTGCTGTTTACTGAGCTCCAAGATAATCATTACTCACATTGCAACTCAGACAAAAGTTACCCTGCTCTTCTCTAACTGTTAATTTCAGCAAGTGCCAGAGCAGGTTCAGGGTTAATATAGGATGACGCTTCTGGTCCATGTACAGAATAAATGAATGCAAGATAAAGATACATAATTCACATATCATAACAAAAAAATAGAAATTCCAGTTCTCCCTTTTCACTGACCTTTTTTCATTGGTGCTTTGATTTGCATGATTTTCTTCACTATGTACCTCAGGGGTCCTAACAGGTAGCACCAAGAGAATGGTTTGCTGAGTACACAGGGACAGCTTTCTGGGGGCTTCTGGTTTAACAATAACCCCAGTCATTTTTGACATCACTTTTCCCGCTCCCCACCCTGCAAAGCACCAGTTCAACTGCAACCAACTAAACTGCAGTCAACTTCAAACATTCCTCCTTCTTTCCTGATAACTCTGTGCACTGGGAATGCTGGCAGTTCAGGGATCACAGGATAACTGAAGCTGGAAGGAACCTTAGGAAATCTTCAGTCTCACTTGTTCCACTGTTTTGCTGTCCCCAGGGTTTGCTGTCCTTATATCCCATCCAAATCTCTGTTATTTAGATCCATGCTCATTACCTGTGATGCTTCTACTGTGAATTGCTCTGAAGAGCCTGGCTCCATCATATTGAAAAACTCCCCATCTCTACTGGAAGACGCTTGATTTCTACACTGGTCAAGCGCAGCTCCCCCAGCCTCTCCTCACAGGCCAAGTACTACAGCCACTGACAGTCTTGGGGGACTCCACAAAACTCACCCCAGTTTACAGATGTTTTGCTTGCATTGGGGTCCCAAAATGGGATGCAGTATCTAGATGTGGTCTAATGGAGGGCTGAGTTGAGGGCATAATCACTTCAGACTACTGGCTCCGACTCTGTCAGTACAGCCTGGGATGCTGGTGCTCTTCCTGGCTGCCAGGGCACACTGCAGGTTCGTGTCCTGCTCATGGAGCAACAGGACTCCACATCTTTTTCCACAGAGCTGCATCCCAGGCAGCTAGGGCCCAGCCTGCTGTGCTGCAGCATTGCTCTTCCTTCCCAAGCACAGGACTTTGCTCTTGCCCCTGCTGAACTTCGTAACATTTCTGTCAGCACGTTTCTCCAGCCTGACCGGCAATCCTACAATATACTTTAAGAAACTTAGAGCAAAGACATCCATCAGCAATTTTGGCACAGATGCAGAGATTTCAGTACTGTGACCAAAACTGAACTGCCTGCAACACTTCAGATGCAGATTCCCTTCTGTATTTCACAGCTTAAGTATCTGGTTTCCTTTGGCAGCCCATGGACACTGCCACTGAAACCAGTCTGCAACCTAAACAGTCTACTGGCTGAAGTCCATCTCATTCTCGCATCCCTTTAGCTCATCCCTATAGAGGCTTTACTTGGATGACATTTACTTTTGTCCCACTGTGTTTACTGTTGTCATCTACTTGCTGAGTATCATCACTGGTGATAATAAAAATGATAGAGGAAGAGCTAAAAGTCACTTTCTTCTTTGGCCTGTCCCCTTCTTTCTGAGACATAACTATTGGTCGTATTGGTCTGTCATTCCTTGTTGCTGGAGTCTCTTTCATGGTCCTCTGGAATCTCATCAGACGAAAGCACAGGAGTTGCAAAAGGCATTGACGAAACTGCAAGAGAGAATAAATAGAATGAAGTTACAGCTTCTTAAGTGCTCACTGTCATGTACAAACCAGTGAAGACAGCGGTACAGTAAATGACTCAACAGATTTTTGCATATCTCCACCTTGTTCTGAATCAGTTTCAGTGCTGTAACAAACATGGTGGCTTTTCAGTGGGTGCTTTTTTCTCTACAGCAAGGAGCTGAACAGGATCACCTAGCCAGCAGAGGGCACTGAAACGCAACTTAATATTTTACCAGCAGCAAGATCTGCAACCCACCATCTGCAAAGAAGAGGACTAGGCTCCTGAGTGGTTTATACATATTGATCCTGTATTCAAAGAACATCGTAGCCAGGGGGAACAAATATTCTCAGAAACATTTGCAGGAAGATGCATTTACAGGAAGATGCAGAAGGAAGGAACAAGGGGAGGAACAGGATACAAAGTGACATTTTCTTCCTTTAAATTACTCCAGGGTATGGAATTTTAACAAAAGCATTGAATGTCACAGATGTAAAATGACATTTCAATGGCTGGTAACAGAGAAATAAGATCTTCCCATTAAACATGGAAAGAACAGAAGTCTTCCAGCTAACTAGAAGCCACTTATGATACAAGTCTATTCTACCTTTTGACTAGGTAACTCAAGGTATTCAGTGAAAGCTTGTATCAGTATATAGAATGACAGTTCCAGTAGTAGAGCTGTTTTAAAGGTTCCAATTATGTTCTGCCCTTCACAAAACAAAGATTTCAGGTAGGTGGTAGTTAAAGGACGCACTCATTCAGTAGCTCGATGTCTCTACACATCTAAAGCTCACATATGATCCTTTGTGGAAACTCTCTGGTTTTACAAGTAAAAAGTGGGCAGCTTCCTCTTCTCTTAATAACCCATAACAAGACATGCCTGGAATGTATGGAGAGGACTTAAAAAAACAAAAAGCCCACAACAACAAATGAGGCAGGGGAACAACAACCCACCTTCTCTGTGAAAAGGGAGTAGGACGTTTGTCTTAACAGCCTTCCATCTAGCTGTGTTAAGGATTATTCTAAAGCCAGTGACTTTGTTTTTCCAGCTATTATGCAAGAAGTCTCTGACATGCTGGTTTGGAACAAGGTTTTATTAGAGGAAATTAATACTCTGACACAGGGGAGGGAATAAATCCTGTTGGGAAGGGGACCTAGAAAATTACAAGATGATAGAGAAAGATAATCTGGCACACAACAATGGTCATGTGGAGGCCTTGAAGATTTCAGAGATTATGTGGACCTCTGAATAGCATGAAAGTGAGAAGGCACTAGCATGTTAAAACAGGTCAGATAGAGGAAGGATATTATAGAGAAGAATTGGTTTTAAGATTCCTTCTGAGGGCAAAATAACCCAGAAGATAAACAAAAATATTATCATTTTAGTCTTAATCTGGAATTAGACATGAGTGAGAAGTACTTCTCAATGCATCTCCAATATGATTCGTTCCTATGCTGGCTGTGACTTCTCTGGCATTGTGCCTGCCTTTTTTAACATGATTGTTGTTAGCTCCCCATATCCAGGCCAGCTCTGATATTGTGCAGCCATGTAACCTTGGATCACTACTGTGAAGTGAGCTGTAGGGGAAGAGCTGCAAGATGCCACATTGGCAGCTTGTTGCCTTCACTAAGGAACGGTGTTTAAGCTCACCCTTGCCCTCTGTCCTGGCTTGAGCTGCATTCCAGCCTTTGCCTGGCTGCCCACCTGGCTGATCGAACCCACTGACTTGGTTGCCTTGGTGCAGGCTGCTGCCTGGCAATTGCAAACCAGTGTAGGAAATCACAGAAAATTCCATCTCTATAATGAGCTAAAAGGTAGTGAAAACCCAGGGAAATCCTTCTAGCAATCACTCATGGTTTTCTACCTTTACCACGTTATTATAATAAGCTCCAGATATTTCTAACTCTATACAACCTTGATTTCAGAAGCTTACAATATGCATATTACACTTCTAGTCAGTGTTCTGGTTCTAGTGAAGCTATTTTAATGTCTAAGCAAATTCACCAATACCGCTTAACTACATTCAGTGGTTATCTTCAAAGTACTGATGATTTACAGAAAGATGTATAGTTTTCTAGCTTCCACATATTGGACATGCCACTGATAACTCCAAATACTTCCATTCTCTCTTTGCTCTATAGAGCACTGAAGTGAGCTACTTACCCCCATTACATCAGCAGTCTACTTTTCACAATGAAGACTACAAAAGCAGACAAAAATAAAAATTTATTTCTCATAGATAAGTAGTCTTAACAGTATATAATTTGCCTCCAAAAAAATTTTGACCGTCATCCACATAAGATTCTGGCTTTTAATACAATGAAGCTCTGAAAAATGTTACTGCTGTAACATTTGAAATACTATGTAATATTTGAAATATATGATGGAGTTCTGTTTTAGCATGGGAGCAATTCAGATAAGGTTTTCTAGTTATAATCCATTTCACAGCTAAACTGTCAAAGCTAGACACTTAACTTTTTACACTCCTTTCCCTCCCTTTCATATGAGTAGTCATGTGTGAATTCAGAAACTTAAAATCCAATTTCTGATAAGGCAGTACTTTAAGCACTGTCAGAGACTTTAAGTCTACTAGATCTTTACCATTTATCCTAGCTATTCAAATCTTAAAGAAAATCTAGAATGTACAGATGAAAGTAAATCAGATCTAAACTCCACCACTGTGGTATCAGCTACTAATAAGAAAACTTTAATGTACCTACCTTTCTACTCATGAAAATATAGATGACTGGATTATAAGCAGTGCTTGACTTGGCAAAGAAAGATGGGATGATAGCTACTGTTGGAGTTACAAGGTTGCTATAGCCATATGTTATCAGGAGAGAGACCACTGCATAGGGCATCCAACAAATAAGGAACGTGGAGATCATTAAGAAACACATTTTAGCCACCTTCTTTTCATATTTTAGAAGCTTGATCACTTGAACAGTCTGAAAATCTTCCACACAACGAAGCTGTAGAAGAAAAAATACAAAATGGTAAAGTAAAATAGTTCTATATATTACTTGAAACTGAATAGTTCTACATCTATTTTTAATTAATTCATTATTTTAGTTTTAGGTGCAAACACTATACACCTTATCTTGCGAAGTGCAATTCTTCTGCAAGTTTACATCATATTTGCCAGACTTTATGTCTATTAAGTGTAAGAACATAATTTGAGGAAAAATAGTATAGCAAATCTACTGGAAAACAGCAAATCTGATGATGTAACAAAACATGCTGCACTTATCACTGTAAGTATTTCAGAAAACTAACTTGCCCTCATCCACTGCTATAAGCAAGTTCAGTTTACATTTAGTGGTCCTTTGCCTGACTAGTTAGACAATCCTGTAGATTTGTGTGTTCAGCAACCTTTAGAGAAGAAAATTTCATAAATTGACTTCTCTGTACTGCTCCGCTACTTAGTTTGTTACCCTAAAATTATGAAATATCTATTTAAAGCAGAATACTGGGCAGCAGGTTCCCAGTGTTACTTGAGCAAGTCATAAAATGAGAAAAAGATGGTACACGTACATGAGCGCTCTCCGTAACAGTTACCAGTTGCGTCAGCGCTGTTGACCAGTTACCCTCAAACATTAACACTTTCTGACACTAAAAATATGGACTGAATTAAAATAGGTTGCCCTAACATAAAAAACTGTTTTAACCAGGCTTCTCCATTTGGAAGAGTTTTACAGGGTTATCTTCTCAAGAGTGGTGAGGAGGAGAGAGAATTCTTTAATCAAGAAAAACTGTTAACAGAGGGTTGGGTTGTTTTTTTTTCCCTTTTTCAAGGGAGAATCTGATGTGGATTAGTGAGCATGGGCAGTTCCCTAACCTGCCTCCCACTAAAACTACACTAAAAATAGACCTTGGTAGCTCTAGGTTGGCTCTCCTCAAACCCTACTACTCAAATCCTTTCTAGTGGTGCCTGACATGGATGAACACTAAACATTCAAAAGTTTGAAGAGGAAGTGAGAGTGCAAATTTAGACTCTGATCCAAGCTTAATATACAGCATCAACATTTTTCACTGAAAATATTACATTCAGAGAAATCTCATTTGAATTAACTTACCATTCTTACTGCATATATTATGTGACCATAGCAATAGGCCATGATCCCAACAGGTGCTACTAGACAGCCAAGGAAAAAAAGGAGCACAAAGGAGATATCATTAGGGTCTTTTGACTTCCAGTCCACTGAGCAACCTAATCCATGAATTTCCAGTGTGTATCTGTTCCAGCCCAAAAGAGGTGCACCAGTCCAGGCTAATGAGTAGAGCCAGATGTATGTGATAGCCCGCCAAGACCAAGAGAAGTCAATCACTTTTGCATGGACTACTCGGATGTAGCGTTCATAGGCAAGAACAGTGAGAGTCATAATTGAAACAATTCCTGTAAGAAAAATAAAGAAAATTAATTAAGTTACTCACAAATACTGCAAGTTGGACTGAAGTTCTCTTGATAAGTTTCCTTTGGTAGCAGATTAATCAGCACCAACAAGTTGTAGTTGTCTGAGTGACATCCCATTACTCACTAACTATTAACTCAAACAGTATCACTAACTTCAGAACTACTCAGAGTAAGGTGCTAGTATCTGACCCATGATGTGTAATGGCCAAGAAGTAGGACAAGGAGGGGAAAAAAAAAAAAAAAAAAAAAAAATTTCCTTCTACCCGAAATTAAGAATTGCTACATTTTGTAAAAAGAGAGAAAGGGGGGGAAAAAAAAAAAAAAAAAAAAAAGAGAGACCAAGCTAATACTTCTTCCTAAACATTAGTTCATTAAGTGAGAGATCATGCTCCAAGGTGGGTTTTTTGGTTGGCAACTGGAGGGTGCGAGAGGAGGTGGCGTTGGGGATTTTTGTGGGTTTGGTTTTGTTGTTTTTTCTAAAGAAAAAGCTGATAATCAGAAATAATAAAATCTGTTAGAAACCTAGTGAACTCAGAATTGACACTGAAGTCAAAGAAAGCCTTCAACAACTGAAAGCATAGATATGCACCTTTAATGTGAACAAAATGACTAGGTAAATTCCAACTTTCCAATTTTTTTTTACATTTTTTTTTTGCATTCCAAACAACAACCAGGAAAGCAAAGCATCAGGTTGCCGAAGAAGTCCCATCCAGAAGACACTGGATTATTTTGAGTGTCCTTTCCCATCTTGCTGCTATCATAAAAGTATGACAGGCTTCGCTTCAGTTGTTTGTGCACTCTCTTCCTTTTCTGTCCACCTCAACCCCACTACACAGTTATTAACATGTTGTGACAAATCACAGATTATTTTCAGCTCTCAGCATGACGTTATCCAGACACTTTTATGACTTAATCGAGACAAGGCAATTCTGTCCTGATTAGGATATAAGGATTTCTGTTTTAACGGTCTGTGAAATTTGATGATCAAAAACCAAGCTGCCTATCAGGCATGAGTCAGTCACATGAAATCTGTAATGATTCAGTCATCAAGCCCATATACACAGCCTCTTAAACAAGAAAAAGGGAGTAGTTCATAGCACTCTGTGAGGTTATACAAATATCTATGCCCAAATTTGTGTACATTTTATCCAATATGAAGCACAAGTATTTTGTAATGCATACACACAGCATTTCATTTCTTCAAGTACATTCGTATTTGTCATAACATGCATTTATATAGCTGTGAGAAGGTTAAATGTTCAAATTTCACTGCCAAAGAGAGAATAATCATTACATCCAGCAGAAACTTTCAAAGGATATCACAGATACCTGATCTCACTTTGAAAAAAGGATCAGCATCTAAGGAAGACAAGTTAACACTAGCACACTCAAGCACCAGCAACATGGATTTTAGGAACGCAACTAAGAATAACAAAATCTAGAGCAACACATAACCTCCATGTCAAAGCATTCAACAGCAAAACCAGCATATTATTAACCACATATGCTGCAGTAGGACATGCTTTAAAATCTCTAAGAAAGTCAGTTTATCCTGTAACTATTAGAGGATCTCTTTTTACAGATGATGAGTTTAGAGAGCTTTCTTGATTAACAGAAAGGATTTGCCACTCTAAAGGAAAACATGCCACATTCTTGTCATGGCTCTCTTTGAAATGAAACAATGAATATGCACATTTTTTGGCAGTGTTATCTTTAAACCTTCATCACAAAGATATGTAGATACTGCTGGGCATGCAGAAGGCAAGGCATACTGCTTTCACAGTTTTGTACAGCTTTGTGGGGTTTTTTTCTTGTGTAAGTCATTGCTATAGAATTTCATTTTCATGGCTTGAAAGAGAAATTGGACTAGCAAATGCAAGCTACAGGGTTTCCAAAAGACTTAAGGTTTGTTTAGTTGGTGACTGTTGTTTTTGGTAAATGAAGTTGAGAGGAAGTCCTTCATTCCCTTTTTCAGGACCTAATACGCTGAAAATACACTGAATGTGTATCTAAACAAGATCTTAGCAAGAATTAGAAAATAATTACAGAATTATACATGCACCATTCTACATTTATACTAGCTCAGGTAAATGCTTTATATAATCAAATGGAGACTACTTCCTGAACAGAAGGTAAGGCAAGAAGTTCCACTTCCATTTCCCCGCGCCCAAATATTAGGAACTTAAAAGTTTTACCTGATGGCTATTAAAATAATCCACAGACATGTTTATGGGGGGAAATCCCCATCACACAACTGCAGGCTCAGTTCGCTTACATAGTGCACTGAAGCTTTGTCTATCAAAAGTGGAGAGAAAGAGCAGCTCCTCAGGATGGCGAGTCCAGAATTCCTAAACTAACCTCTTGCTCTTTACCACCTCCTTCTCTCTGCAATGGTATTTAATGACTAATATTCCTGTGTACTCTTAATATATCCCCACCAATTTCTATGAGTACTGAATTCTGGCCATAAGAAAGTAATCAAAAGCACAAACGCTTGGTTGAAAGCACAGGTGTTCAGAAGCAATAATTTACTAAGAACTTGACACTCTCAAGGAAGTCATTGGAAGATCAATAACTCTAAAAACTGGTACTTACACAAAAATATTTGAACAGTGTTAGATCAAGCCCCTTTCAGTCTGAAAACAGTGTTCTTTAAAGGGATACTTGAGTTTTCTACCTGAACCATAAAAGGGACCCTGTTTAGCCTGTTGGGCAGTATGTATTGAAATGCAAATCCCTGTTTTATTGGTATTCAAGAGTGTCTGGCAGCACGCAGACATGAGGCAAGAAATGCAGGTCACAGCATCTTATAATAAATGCCTCTTTGATGCAGGATCTCTGCTGTAACAAGGTCATAGCTGTAAGAGTAGAGGTTGAAGCAGTCAACCATAAAAATTTAAACTGGAAACAAAATGCCTTTGCAGGATAAGAAAAAATGTAGGGAATTTTGTCCAAAAAAACCCTCTTGTGCTGTGGAGCCATGGCTGCCTATTTATTTGTGCAGATGATATGCAGAAATACTTTTAAGAACAGGAATACTGAAATCTGCCCTAAGGAGATGAGTTTTAAAATGCATATTAGAAAGATGAAGTCCATAACTATGGGAAAAAATCCCACTAACTCTGGTGGAAGATGCTGTAGATAATGCTGTTTAAGAGTCATTAGGGTTTTGTCATTCTTTTTACTTCTACAGTGGGCTACATGACAGAGGAATTTATAAGCAAACAAAATTTCAGTGTGTTCAATGGGTGAGTGTGTGTTTCAGTGTGTTCAATGGTGTTCAATCAGATCTCAGTTACACATTTCTAGAAGGGCAGATAAGCATCTTTTAAGTCTCAGACGAGGGATTACCAACAAACTACTTTTACTGAATGAGTGAAATTGAATGACAGGTAGCATCTCTCAGCATTTGGACATTGCCTTGCAAAACACAAATAGCCAAGGGAATAAATTCCAAGTAGAGTCATCAGCATTTCAGGAGCTATTGAACTCACAGGAATCTCTAAGATCATGGTGCTTTTTTTGCTCTTCTCTCCTTTATTGTTAAAGAAGAAAAAAGCATGAAATACTGCTATGCCCTCATAGAATGCAAATAACTTTGTTAGAGTTTTAAATTTGATTGTCCATCTTTTTAATATTGAAATTCTATAGAGTAACTCTCCTGACTTAAACACCCATTACTCCATAAGAATCTAGTAACTTATCTTTTTTAGACCTGCTTCCATACACTTGACATTAATCCCAGGCCTTAGGAACAAAAAAACTCTTGATGCAAACACAGGTCCACCACCAGCGAAGGAAGAGTTGGTATGTGAACTATTACAGAAGACTGACCCCTACAAATTGATGCTGACATTATCCACGCAGGGGTGTTAAGAGAGCTGGTTGATGTCACTGTGAGGCTGCTCTCCATGATCTTTGAGAGATCGTGGAGATTGGGGGATGTCCCAGAAAAACTGGAAGGCTAATGTCACCCTCATCTACTAGAAGGGACTAAAGGAGGATCCAGAAAATTACAGGCCCATCAGTCTTACTTCAGTTCCTGCAAAAGTTACCGAGTGAATCCTCCTGGGGCTATGACAAGTCAAATGAAGCATGTGATTGCGAAAAGCCAGCACAGATTCACCAAGGACAAACCATGCTTGACAAACCTCATCGCCTTCTACAATGAAGTAACCTGCTCAGCTGATGTAGGGCAAGCAGTAGACATTGTCTACCTGGATTTCTCCAAGGCTGATATGGTCCCCCCCAGCTGCCTCCTAGAGAAACTGATGTGATCCCCTCCAGGGATCAATATTGGGCATAAGGAATCTGGATGATGGGATCAAATGTATCCTGATGAATTTTGCTGATGACACCAAACTGAGCAGGGAAGTACACAATTCAGAAGAGAGCCACCCTGCAAGGAAGACCTGGATAGGCTGGAAGAGTGGGCTAACAAGAACCTTATGAAGTTCAATAAGGACAAGTGTAAGGTCTTGCACTTGGAAAAACATAACCCAGGAGGGCAGCACAGGCTAGGATCTACCCAGCTGGGGAAAAGCTCTGCAGAAAGGGACCAAGGAATCCTGATGGACAACAAGCTCAATATGAGTGAACAGTGTTCTGCTGCAGCAAAGAAAGCCAACAGAATGCTGGGTTGCATCAACAAGGGCATCACCAGCAGAGAGAGAAAGTCATTATCTCACTCTACTCAGCACTTCTCAGGCCACAACTGGAATACGGTGTTCAGTTTTAGTCCTCATTATGCCAAAAGATGAGGACAGGCTGAAAAATGTTCAGAGAAGGGCCACAAAGATCATGAACAGACAGGAAAGCCTGTCATATGAGGAAAGGCTGAGAGAACTGGGTTTATTCAGCCTTGAGAAAAGATGGCTTAGAGGAGAGCTTGTGTTCCAGTATTTAAAGAGTAGCTACAAAGAAAATGGAGACTCCCTTTTTACAAAAGAGTCATATGGAAAAGACAAGGGGTAGTGTGTACAAATTACTCCAGGTTAGATTCCAATTGGACAACATTATGTGTTTGCACTTTATGGCATCAAGTTCCATTATAAAGCTGCAAAACCATAAAAGCAGAAAATGCCCAAGGGTCTCATACAACTCTAAGCAGTCAGAGCTGGAAAATGCCTGCCACCTCCACATGTTATAGTATGAACTAATAACAGAGCAGCAAAAATCTTGAAAGAGTCTGTTCAAACTCAACATGCCACAGTGTACAACATGTACGTTGACAGTTTGCGGGTTTTCCGTATGCTAATAGCACTGTCAAGTTCCATCCAAATTTTTACACAAGACCAAAAAAAAAAAGTTACTTTATCTTATATGGGTAATTACCTGCCCCCCTGCTGCACTGATCCCAAGGACGGAAAATTTTTTCTCAAATGAGAAAATTGTAATTAAATGAGAAGTGGGGAAGGGAGAAATTATACATTTTGGTAGGTGCAATTAATTCGATTGGAGATTAGGTCTCATGTCAAGGGATGGTTTCAAGCAACATTTGTAATATATTCAACATCCTAGACAGTACTGCTGGAACTTTATACCCCTTGGTTATTATAAAGAAATGAAAGAGCTGTATTTCTTTTTGAGATTATTTTACTTTAGTTACTTTTTTCCCTATGGTAGTCTAGGATTCTATTAAATCTGCCCTATTAATGCCAATAACAAGATAGCCACCAAATATGACACCTAAAGAAGCAGCTACAGAGCAATTGTTAAATCTACAAATTAAGTTACAGCTTTCATAAAGTAAACCAGAGCTTTTCACAAGACCTATCTAGATGCATAGTTCAAAGGGTTCAGCAAGAAGTTCTTCATTTCTAAGTCACCCACAAATGGATTTAAGGGCTCATTTCTTAAAGGGCCTGCTTCTAAAATTCCTGCCTCTAACAGACATATTTACAGAGGTCTAGAAATAATTTTTTAATCAGACTTCCCATCTTTAAAGAAAATAGTTTCTAAATCAATAATAACTATCAAATAAGCTTGCAATGTACATGCTTATCAGTTTGTCCTTGAAGCCAAAGCTGTTATATAAAATAATTTCTGTAGAAGCTAATCCCCTAGATTGATGTGTTTTATTCTGCAAGACAACTAGCAGATATGTAAGAGTGGTTTCAGATAAGCAGTTAAATCTTAAAACAAATATATAAAAATTCACCTTTGTGTCATAGTTTTGTTAGATGTAATGCATATTTGCTTGTTGTCCAGATTTTTCACAGCGAATGCCAATGAAGCTACAGAGAAGGCTGAGTGAAGTTCATTATGGTTCACTGCAAAGAGTCCGACTGAATCCCAGAGTCTTCATTCAAGCAAGATTAATATTAAACAATGGAGCCTCCGTACATAAGACTTCCTCCATTATTCACTTTGGATTTTAACCCAAAGCTTTCAGAATTATTTAATTTTAAAGATCTTCATTTTCTATATTAGGTTCCACTTCAACATCTTTCAATCGTCTTTCCACTGTTAGTGATTTCTTCTTTTAAAATATTTTTTTATCATCAAGTTTATCTTGAATTCTAAACAGGTCAGTCCTTATGGCCACTTCTGTTTCTTTGTACAATATTAACACTAAATGCTTATGCCAGGAAGGATGGAGGGAATGGTTAAATGACCACAGTTAAGGGGCTTAAATGCAGGATCGTGTACAAAGCAAATCAAAAGCATTGGTCATTTGTGGTTCAGAAAAAAAAAAAATCTATTAAATTCATCTCAGTGAGATGTACATCTGAAATAGGATGCATTTGGTGGATCTGATAGGATATCTATGCTCAGCATTAAAGATTCTCTGCTTTTTCTGTGGTCATTAAGCCTTCCTGGCATAATCTATATTTAAAAACAATTAGGGATGTCATGGTTTAAGCCCAGTCAGCAACTAGGACCATTCAGCCGCTCACTTGCTCACTCCCCTCCCCCAGTAGGGTAGAGAGAAGGAGAAAAGGAGGGGAATGGAAAAAAAAAAAAAAAACAACTCATGGGTTGAGATAAAGAGAGTTCAATAAAACAATAACAGAAAAGGGAAAAACCCAACCATAATAATAATATTTATTCTGTATATTTTTTACCATTATTAAGTAATACAACACAAGTCACTTTAACCACCCAATGAGCAGTTACCCAGACCGTCCCAAGCAGGGATCAGCATCATTCTCACTCAAACCCAAAACACAGCAGCTACTAGAAAGAAAATTAACTCCACCCCAGTTAAAACCATGACAGGATAACATACACCTGTAGCCACCTTGATTTTCAAACACTATGCCAGGTTCCATATAGAACTAAAGTGGAATTAATCATCTCTTCCATGTTCAAGCCTGCAAGTGATTAATTCACTTTTAAAAAAAAAAAATTAAAAAATTGCTAAACCTGAAAGCATGCTGATTGAGCCTCCAGCTGCCTGTAACACAAGATCCTAGGACCGTCTGCCAAGTAACCACAGAGACTGCTTTTAGTGAGATTAAATCAGTGCATGTAACACACATTTGTAATGCAAGAGGGTAGCACAGGGCATCATTCTTTCAGCAGGCAGAGAATAGTTTTAGATGAAGTAGTTAAAAACTACATACAGATAATTTTTTTTTTTGCTTTGTTTTAAAATAGGTTGTAACTGGTGCCAGGTCCACAGGACAGCCTCTGACCATAAATCCTTACTTCAGTATTGTGTAGAG